ATACACATATACATGTAGAAGTGAAATGTAACCCCATAAAGTGAAATGTAACCCCATAAAGTGAAATGTAGCCCCATAAAGAAGTGAAATGTAACCCTATAAGCTTGTGCTTCCCCTGCTGTTTAGAAATATCTGCTATGAAAAATACCAACACCTCAGAGGTTCTCCTACTGGTCTTAGAGACAAATGAAAAATCTACTGTCTAGTACAAGTTCTGGTATCATTTCAAGTCTAGGCATGATTTGTCTGCTTTCTCCATTCTACTACTCTTAAAACTTTTTCTGGAGGCTTCAGTCAGGTATTTTGAATTATTATGAACAAATATTTTGCATGTATTTTCATTTGCTGGTCAGCTTGAGAGAACATTTTAATCTAAATTCATAATTTTATCTTATTCATTAAGTTTTTAAAAGAAATGGTTTGTGTTTTGTAAGTTTCAGTTGATTTTTGTAACATCATTTTCACTTTGAGACAGTTCCTAATGAGTAACACATATGGAATTTAGTAAGCTTCCCATTTTTAAAATGCTGTTACAGCTTTAAGGAAAGTTTTTCACAGGAAAAGCTCTACAGTCTTATAGATTTGAATGCAACAGCCCACTCGAAATTTGGTAGTTGCTGAAATGACGCTCTGCTAAACTGAAGTTGAACAACAAATCCACCTCCTAAGGTATCCAAGAAACATTTCAAGCATCAAATTAACAGCATGATTATTGGCCTGTATGACAAAGCAGCTTAAAGAATAAAAAGCATGTTTTTTTAAACACACGTAAGAAAAATCTATCGAACTGCAGCTTCCCTAACTACAAAGAGCCTCAGAGGCAAACCAACAGAATAAAAGTGCTCCAAGTTTCCATGTCATGGGTTAAAAATATGCGCCAAACTGGTTATTCAGGCTGCAGTGACGTTTGCAGTCATCTAACCAGGGTTCAGATGATCATCACTTTCCATTGAACGCTGAATTACTTGACTGAGGAGTCTGCCTTTAATCGCTGGATTCTTTGGCTGTTGGGACAAAATAATAAATCTTTGTTCAGTAAATGTGAATTTCCCTGATTTACATAAATACATGGATTGAGTTTTTTAGGTTTTCAGCTACCAAACTAACAGAACTGCATTTAAGCATGAATACCAACAGACTCCCCTTTTACTTTTGGATTACACCATGAAAAAAGACAGGAAGGTTTTCTGTTCTTTCAAAAATTAAAGTTCATGCAGCACAAGTTATGCTATGCCTGTCAGCATTGCGCAGTACTTACAACCAGCTCCAGAGTCATTCGTGTCAAGAGATCCGTCTGAGCCTGAAAACAAGCAGTCAGAATAAAATTCTGGTTTTACTGGTTTGATTAAAAACTTTCACATATCTCTCTGTCTTACAAAGCTAGGACAGATACCCAAAACCAAACTTCATCATTATATGTGTAAGGGCACTCCTGAAGTAATTCTCTCTCATCAAGGTTTGCTGGTACAGTTATTTTCTGTAAATACTTAATATGGATCTGTTACATGCCTGCCAGGCTGTTTGTTTCTCTTTCCCCTCCCCCTTTGTCTCTTCACAGGTACTAGGGAAAGCTGATGTCAATCTCCCCTGATTGATCCTCATCAACCATGGGCCAATCAGCATCCAGGGAGGCCTTATTTAAGCAGCCCAGCTGGGGAGAGCTGGGATCTGGCTTTGTTACTTGACGCATAACTTGTTTCTCTTTGTGTGAAGGTTTGTGGTGGGAGTTAGAGGGCGAGGTAAGTTTGGGGTACCCTGTACATTTCATCACGTAGGTGTTTTTTCTGTTAGATACACTAGGTAA